GGAGCAGGTGGTCTTATTTAACATCTTGAACTTGAGGTCTTGCCGTAGCTTCTCACACTTACTAGAAACGCAGTGACTGATTTTGTTTTCACTTTTTGCTTTACATTCAGTTACTTCTCATCTGGTGGTCTCTGTTCATGCCACCACGCATTTTACGATATACCGACTGGTTATTTTATTCATCTTATATCCCAGTTATCGGTTCACCATCTAGCTGCTTTCACATGCAAGAGATTCTGAGATAAACTGCCTAGACAGCATCTGTTCTACCTCTTCTACTGTCTTTCGGCGCAAGATTTTTAAAAATTCTCTTCCTGAGCATGTTCTTCCAGCCTCCATATGTCTTTGCATCTTTAATAAAATCATCTTCTGTAGGAGATAAGCCATCAGTCAGCTCAAACACACACACACACACACTCACTCACTCACTTACTCTATGGATAGAACAAGTACAAAATAATAATTAAAAAATATCCGTCAGATAATATCAGACACAAACACAAGATCATTAAGGAAATCTAGACCTCCACAGTCCCAGGAGGGAATGCTTAAAGAGAAAATAAATCAAGTTGGTTCAGTGGATAAAATACTGTTCCATAGCTGGAATAAGAGGGTAGAAAGACATCATTTTCTAGCCCAAGGGAATGTCATCTGCAAAGAAAGAGTTAGAAGCACATTCCTCCTGGTTCCCTCCTCCTCCAAGAGGCCATAAGTAAATGAATTTAGCTAAAGCTTCAATAAAATGGAACGATAAGGAAAAGAAAAATGTGTTACCATCATAGATCTTAATGTGAGGAAGATATTGTCTGAAGGAGAGGATTTCCTTCCTCCTTCTCCTTCCTTCCTCCTGGGAGGAGATTAGACAGGAAATTTTTGATTTAACCAGGTACAAGCGAAAAGCATTGAGTGGAAGCTACAAGAAACAGAAAAAAAATAGAGAGCTTTTGGAAAGCATTTCCCTCCTGAGATCAATTCATTTATAAATTGTTACTTTCCAAATCAAATTTAAATGTCTTTGTCTGATGGCAAGCCCTCACTGACTTTGCTTCTTTCTCATGGACCCCCAGCTACTCCTGCCTCCTTCCCACCACTAGAAACACGGGCTGAACTTTTCTTACCATCTTGCTTCTCTCGGCAACTTCTTTATTTCATGTATTATTCAACATGTGCATTATTATGTTTGTATTATTATTCAACTTATTATATATTTATATATTATTCAGCTTTATTATTATTCAACTTATTTTCAACTTAATCTTTTTATGTATTATTCTTCCGGCTTGAGGGACAATACACTTGTGAAAAGCATGACATTTGTTTTTTTCCACAGAAAGGTCACTTAAAACCATCTCTCCTATATATTCATTCCTCAAACATTTTTTTTTTATTTCTGTAGCATAAAAGTGCATTAAAAATAGAAACAGTATCATTTTTCAGTTTGGCATGAGGTCTACTAGACTGCAGACATTCAAAATAAAATTAAAATCAAAACAATACGAGTTTGATTCATGATTAAAATGTAATAGCTAGAAACTCTACCCTTCCTCCTCCCAGATAATTGACATTTTATTTTTATTCTTTCTCCGTTGCAGTTTTTTTTTCCTGTGACCGTGGTGGGGAGGGGGTCACTTTGTGTCCCCTGCACACTTAGCATATGCCTTGCACAGTATATCTTCACTGGCTATTGGGCTCAAAAATAATTTCATCTAGAGGGAAGACAATGGCGGTCAAGTCCACTTTCTGCACTATCATTCTTTATCTGTTCCTAAAGAAGTAGTTTCAGTATGGAGGGTGGACCTTCTCATTCTTATTTTTACTGTTATAAGTTCACTTGACTGTTTGAGAAGACAATTTGTGGTCCCTTTTACAACTTGAAGAGTGAATTTTAATTTGTTTCTGCTGTGCTGGCCTCATGTAATTCCTTTGTGTGTTCTGAACACGAAGGTACTATTATTATTTGGTGCATGCCTAACGAGAACCCAAACAATAAATGGGCCTGTAATAATTACCCAGGAAAGCCAAGTGCATTATTTTGAGTAAGAAAATGCAAAGGCTTCATTTCTCAAAAATGATGTCATCACCCATTTTCTTGAACTTCTGGACAAACACCCTTGATTTATGTGCTCTTTGCAGAAAGTGACTCAGGTGAATCCCTCTACGTTTAATGAAAATTTGGAAGCAGTTACAGTATTTGCAATAGCCTTGATGGAACATCCCCAGAAATGACAGAACTAGAATACCATTATTCTGCTTCCCAAGCTCTGGTCATATTTCATTGTTTTTCAGTCATGTACAGTAAATGTTCTATTACTCATACAGGGAGTCTTTTTTTTTTAAGATTTATTTATTTATTTGACAGAGAAAGAGAGCATGCAAGCGGGGGGAGGGGCAGAGGGCGAAGATCCCCAAGCAGACTCCCCACTGAGCATGGAGCCCAACGAAGGGACTTGATCTCATGACCCTGAGATCATGACCTTACCTGAAACCAAGGGTTGGACACTTAACTAACTGAGCCACCCAGGCGCCCCTCTATATGGAGTCTTCAGAAACTGATTACACTGGTTAATTTTATTTTGAGATCTGTATTTAAGCATAGGTAGAGCATGAGAGTGTCAATAGATTTATTTTTCTTATAGTTAATTTTAAATTAAAAATTTGGAATAGAAACATTACTTTATCTGCAAAGTGAGGGATGGAATAAAGGTTCTTTCTACTCCTAAAGACCTAGATGTCTATGATTAGCTTCTAGCAGGCCAAAACCTATATTTGTAGTGTTACTTTTTAAAATCACATAGCTCTTAAGTGAAATTAAGTATTATTTTTGACATTTTGAAGGTATCTTAGCTGAAATGAACTTTTTTGGTCTGTTTTTAAATGGTCTCAACATTTTTTCTCCTTTTTTGTAGCAGCATTAATTGCTGTGGTTTCGTTAGCAATTTCCTTTCTTCATTTTTTCTTTTCGAGAAAGATACAAGGAAATCGTTCACCAATGCATCAAAGTTCTGATAGGTTAGTGACAGCCAGCTAGTCAGAAATTATAGCTACAAATACACCTGTCATTTTCTGTAGACTGTGATGTCTACTGTTTTAACAGTAGCATATCCATTCTTTAAGTGCCAATGTGCTGAAAACATATTTAATTTTATTGGATGCTTTTACCAGAGCTTATGTAATTTTTCAAATGGTAAATCATAATGATAACTAGTTTCTTATATTAATAGCACCATAAAAATTTTTTTTAAAAAACAGCACGTGAGGTCTTTTTCTCTTGTTAAAAAAATTAAAAATGAATATTATATATATGCATATATATCTAATATGATGAAGTTTTAGGTTTTTAAAAAAATAACTTCTTTTTTTGGAGCTACAAATTGAAATATTTATAAGTGAAATACTGTGCTGTCTGCAATTTGCTTCAAAGTGAAAGGGGGGTGGGGGAGCATAGATGGGGTAAAGGTGAAATAAGGTTGGCTATGAGTTGATAATTGTGGTAGTGTTATCTACCATGGCAATTTTCACACTGTTTTATAATCCCTTTTTAGCACGTGTGTATCCCCTCCCTAGTTTTTAAGTTTTGTAGAGGCTGGGGATGCCTGCGTGGCTCAGTAGGTTAAGCCTCTGCCTTCGCCTCAGGTCATGATCCCAGAGTCCTGGGATCGAGTCCTGCATCGGGCTCCCTGCTCGGTGGGGAGCCTGCTTTTCCCTCTGCCTGCCACTCCCCCTGCTTGTGTTCTTTCTATCTCTCTGGCAAATAAATAAATAAAATCTTTAAAAAAAAAAGTCTTGTAGAGGCTGAAACTTAATCTAGTTCACCATTGTGTCTCCAGCAACTAGTGTAGTGTCCGGCATAAATTAAGCCTTCAAGAAATATTTATGGAAGGATATATTAATAAATCTGTCTTCTCAAGTGGTCTCCATGATTGCTGTCTCCATTTTGGCTAACTCATCCTCCATGTACTTTCGGGAGGGACGGGCTTAAACTATAAATGTGTGATCATATTTTGCTCATCAATAGCACTCCCCCATCAGGGCAAACATTCAGATATTTATACACAAAGTCCATGGCCCCTCATTGTGTGGGTCCTGCCAGCTACTTGCTCCCTCATTCATCAGTGTACTTCACCACTCCACAGACTACTTGTACTACTTGTTTTCTATGCTCCATTCTCCAGAACATTTCCTCTCTCTGGGAGTGTCATCCCCATCCACATTTTAAACATGGCGCCACTGAGGCATCTTCCTTAACCTGGGGAGGCTAAGGTGGTCACTGCCCTTGTGCAGCGAAGCCAGCAAACACCACAACACAACACCCCTGCTTTCAACATGCTTCCTCCCTCTCAACTGTTGACAGCCATTTTCTTCTTATCATTTTCCCCTTCACTGACAGTGAGTATCCCTATAGCAGTTACTTTGTATTTTTCATAACATCCTCACTTTACCTGGCAAATAGAGGAAACCAATAAATATTTGCAGAATGAGCAAATTAAGGAATGTACTTTTTGTTAAACAAGTAATGAGTTTTCCATAGAAGATGTGAAATCAATGATAGACTTACCAGCGTTCCCAAAAGTTGTTTTTCACATTTGCACCAGGTTTTCTTCTGTTTTTTTTCCACAGTGTAGTCAGCAGGTCACAAAGACAAACCCCCGAATCGTATAAATCTAAGAATGAAATGCTGAGGTAAAAACGACCTTGATGTGAACCAAGGTGCCAAGGGAAACATGATCCTTAGTTTTTCAAAAGTTCAAGATATATTTAGTAGGAGAAATAATTCTGGTGATAATTTTAATAAAGCCTTGGGTTAACTTCAGTGGAGATTGTTTCTGACATATTTCAAATCTCCAACATAACTGGGTCTTTGACCCTCAGTACATATTTTGTAGAAGAGCCCAAGTACAGAAATAATGAAATGTTGGAAAATGAGATCTCTTGTTATATTAAAGTGAACTTTATAGCTGAAGAAAGTCATAAAGTTTGGGTTCTCCCCTCTTCCTTTGCAGATATGTCTTCTCCGACTACTATGAAGAAGCCCGAAAAGCCACTGTTCAGCTCTACATCTCCACAAGATTCTTCCCCAAGATTGAGCACTTTCCCCCAGCACCATCATCCCGGAATACCTGGAGTTGCACACAGTGGTGAGGAGTTTCAAGCACAGAGGAGAAGCGTCCCTCTTGTTTGCAGAGCTCACTCTCAGGGATGGAGCAAGAGTTTTACTTAGAGCTGCAGGGGCCATATTCTCTCAGCCAAAAGAGGGAGGGTTGTGGTCCAATCAAATATTTTTTTTCTTACCAATATATGAGAAAAGAGTTCCAAAGCATTCACTTAAATAACATTTGTGAATGTATTTTTAATTGCCTTTATTGGAAAGATTACAATCCCAAGAAATTAGAAGATATGGGATACATAGTTATCTTACCTGTAGCTTCAGGATTGGTCCCCATTCTATATATTTGACTAAGGAAAGGCGGAATTTCAAGTGTGTTGCTGAGTTTGGAGTATTTCCAGAGGCATTAAGATATACAGACACTGTTTCCAGAGATGTTATTTTCTATACAAAAATCAATACTTAATTACTTATTTAGGAGTGAAATTAATCAGAAAAATAAAAGACGTTCTTTGACAATTTTTTCGGTGCACAAATAAGTGTGGGCTAGTACACTTGATATTATGTCTAATATCTTAATTTACATAAGAAAAAGAATACAATATTTCACATACTTTAAAGAACAATTAAACTAAATCCCCTTTCAAAAATTAAAAGTGAGATATAATTAATAAACAATACTGTATACTTTCTACCTATTATTCTTGAGCCCTAGAAAGGAGTGTACTGAATTTTTGGTGGAGAAAGTTTTGTATATAAATACGTTTGTAGCAATACTCTTATTGCTTTAAATTTATAGATAGGCAATTTTTTTATTCTTCCGACAAAATGAATCTGGTTTTTAAACCTTTACTCAAAGGATATAACTTCAGTTATAAAAAAAGTCCTTAGCTTTGATCTCTAAGTGTATGTTGATACATATCATTGCTATACTTTAAAAATGCATGGCCTTCACTAAGAAAATTATAAAATTAAGAAAGGAATATACAAATCAAATGTGGTATAAAATATTTATATTTGTATTGTTTGTACTGCTAGAATAGGTCAAAAAAGTCGGTAACTATTTCATGGATCTGTAATGTTGAATATTTGAGCAAAATTCACTTAGCAGTCAAATCATCCATGTATTATGACACCTGATTAAAATATTCAGATTTCTGACATTGGGAAAAAATTAAATAGCACACTTTTATATAATGAACCATGGAAACCTAGATAAGCCTTCCACCTTGGTCCTTCACCAGATACTTACTCAATATGTAATGTAATGTATTAGGGCCTGTGGTAGGCACCTTGGTCATGAGACACAGTTTCTGTCCTTGAAGAGCTCACGGTCCAGCAGGGAGACAAGGGGACCACATCAGCTAGGCATGAAATCTGAACAGGACTAGACACTTTGAAAAGGATTAGATGCCCAGAAGAGATGTGTTCTTCCCTGAAGTTGAGAGAGTGAGTTCGCCACAAGAAGGAAGAACAAGGCAGGAGGAAGGTTGTTTCAGACGGAGCAAACGGCCTGTTATCAGGAAAGGTCACTGCAGCAAGGAACTGCCATCTATCCAAGGATCCACCAATATCTCCATGTGGCCTGGGAAGAGAGAGCGGCCAGACATGAGGCCCATGAAGTGAGGCAGGGCGGGTTCCCTACAGCTCTTGAAGACCATACAAACCTGTGAAGTTGCTGGGCTTTTCTTCTGGAAGCAGTAGGAGCCATTGAAAGATTTTTAGCAGAGAAGTGACTTGCCTGAGATGGCATTTTACAAAATTCATTCATATGAGACTATAAAGGCTGTATGAGACTGGAGGAAAGGAGACAGGAAGGCTTGGCATTAATGTAGGCAGGAAATACATGTACATACATGTATGCATGTGTGAATTCTTTCATAATGAAGGGAAACGTCTTCTGCCTGTATTTTGCTTTTCCTATTTTCAAGGACTAGAATGACCTTTATTGATACGAAATAGCCATTTTTACTTTCAGTTTGAAATGCTACATTCTACTAGCTTCTATCAGGCTAGCCACAGCTTCTGTGAGCACAGTACAAGGGAGCCCAGAGCCTGAGCCCTGATTTGATATGTGCCGGTTCCATTGAACAAAGATCTCTTCCAAAACCACCAGGGCCACACTGATCTCAAGCCCAGGGGGACCAAGATGGAGCGGCGTATATATTCTTCAAGGGTTTGTGTACAGATGTGGGCAAAGACCATGGTTACATGGTCTTCATTTAGCTGAGATTAAGAGCACTTCAACACCAAGTTAAAAAGATGCCAAACTTAACTTAGGTGTTTGCCTCTCCTTAAATTACACTTTCTCAGATGTGTATATTTCTTTAACAAAGTCGTATGTCAAAAAGGAGTTTTGTGAAGAAATATGTAATTGTTCTCTGAAATGCATCCCTTTGACGGAGGAGGCACACACTTCAGTGTGTGGAAAGATCACGTGAGGCACTTGTTTAAACTGTACTTTCTGGTGCCTTACCCTGGGGGGAGTCAAGACCCAGTAGTCTGTGTTTAGGCCCAGGGATCTGCATTGTAACAACAATCCAGAGGATCCTGAGTGACCCGGACATTCAGGAAACAGAGTTGTGACCGTAAAATTGAATTTATGATTCTTCGCTGAGATACATTCTTAATTTCTCGTATTTTCTGAAAAAAGCTTTCTTTGGGGAAGATAAGTAATATCCCTTTAAAAGTATATATATATATATTTTTGCACATAATTACAAAGTTGGAGATAAGTTAGTCCAGATGATTTTCATTAATAGGTCATGGAAAGAACTTATTTTTCATATTGTTTGCTAAGTTGTCTCATAAATCACTAAACATTTATCATATGTAATTTCCTATGATTTGGATCAAAATATTAAATAGAAACAGACATTTAATCTTCATTTCTACATATACTCGTTGGTACTCTTAATTGTACTTATGTGGTCATGTTCCTCAACCTTATAGAGATAATGATTGTGCAATTATATTCTTTCCCATTTTTGAAACTTAGGGATTATATTTCAAAAACTAAACAATAAATTTTAGTCATCCTGATGTTGAAAAATTACAGCACAATTAAACATCGTCTACATCACATATGTTTTATATATTATTTCCCTTTATAAAATACGTGATTTATTGGTTAGTTAATATGCCTATATGAAAGTTTAAATTCACATTTCTGTGGGTTTTATTCTTGGTCTTATCTTAATAACATCTTTTAAGCTACATGTAATAAAAGTTAGAGTAGGAAGAAAAATAGTTACAGAATAGAGCTCTTTTGGTTTTGAAAGGAACATTTTCATTAGGAAAAAAGAGTTCCCAGGCCCTACGTTCACACGTTCATAAGCATTTGTCCAACGATCAGGTAATTATTCAGCACATTATTGTTTCCTAATTACTGGCTTCTCTTTTAACCAACCACCCGCTAGGACGTATAGGAAAAATGTTTATTTAAAATTGGCGTACACTTCTGTTTTGAATTTCGGTAGAGAGTCTGTGGGTGCCCCTGCCTTTTAATGGATGCTGTGAGTTGGTCTGGACTCAAGATACAAAGACTTTCTGATCAAAGATTGTATTCTGATGGGAAATAACTCTGCTTAAAGGAACGTTTTATGAAATATTGGCTTAACCTATAAAAGAGAAACTTCCTTTGTGTAAGCATTCATAGAGCTGGAGAGCAAGATCGCTAGTTCCCCAGAGTGGGGTTGGGTCTGTGTGTTCTCCCTGCCGGCATGGCCGAGGGAGTCCTGCAGGGGAGTGTGGGTCGGTCATGGGGAAGTGGTGAGGAGCGGTCAGCGTGGCGGCCTCGCAGGGTTCTGGGGGGCGGGCCAGGGCAGCGGGCACCATGGCTGACGTCAGTCTCCCCTTTTCTGTCCTGTGCAGTCATCTCGACTCGAACTCCGCCTCCACCCTCACCGCTGCCATTTCCAACACAAGCTATTCTTCCTCCAGCCCCATCGAGCTACTTTTCTCATCCAACAATCAGATATCCTCCCCACCTGAATCCTCAGGATACTCTGAAGAACTATGTACCTTCTTATGACCCATCCAGTCCGCAAACCAGCCAGGTAAAAATGAGACAGCAAATAAGATTAGAGCCTAAGGGAGATGGCACAGGTCTGACTCTAAGACGTGAAGCTTATTCAGACGGTATGTCTGGCAGAACATCAAGCTTTTGAAATCCATCTTCAGGAAGTTTCTTGGTGACTCAATAAGTTTTTATATAAAGGTGGCTGAATGACAGGTAGGAAGTGTCTTGCCCCAAAGGGGCACATTTGTGAAGATGTTTCTGGTTTGATGTTTTTGAATTTTCATTGACTGAAAAGAAAGTTTATGCAGAAAGTACATTGACAAAAAAGCTCAGAGCTGGAGTTCACACCTCTGAAATACCTGGTTTAACGCAGAGACAAAGTGCTTATTTCAGGCAGGAGCAAGGTATGCGCTAAAATAAACACACACAAAAGAACTTACAGTTGTATTTATAGACCAACTATTAGGTATTAAAATAAGCTTTGGTAATGTAAACATTGTCAGTGTTTGATGACTACTTGAATATTCTTTGCACAGACATGACTACATTTAATAATGAGTGATATTACCAGAAGTGTCTTTTCTTTTTTCTTTCTTTCTTTCTTTCTCTCTCTCTCTCTTTTTTTTAAACATTCTGCAGTGGTTTTAGGGACTTTTATTGTATAAGTGTAGTGACCCATGTGCGTTTCTCACTCCTTAAACGTGTGGCTTCTTCTATAGAGAGGTCACTTCATAGTGATTTGATACAGGAAGATTTTTCATGATCAAATAGATAGGCTTTGTGCCAGAGCTGGTACAAATTATAATATCCAAAGTCTGTAATGTAGTTTTGATCTTTAGGTCTGGTATTTGGCATTGCTGCTTTACTTTCAAGACTCCTGCCCACTCATTATATCTTTTAATGCTCTGAGAGATTGTCATAAGCATTCTGTCATCAATGCTGTTCAGTTACTAAAATGCCAGTGAATAGTATGTGCTTATTAATTTAGAATTAACATAGAAAAGATCTGAACAAATCATTTTTGGTCGTAATTGTTAAAATGAAGCAAAATGGTCTTTTTTGAACGTTTTATTTTGAATAACAACATAGCCAGCACCATTTGGGTTACTTAAAAAGTTACCTGTACTTTTAGTTCTATCGACTAATAATACTAAACTAAATACACCATTCTTGAGTTGTGACTTTGTAGTCAAACCATTTGTATTTTAGAAGAAAATGTCCAAATGGTATAGCACTTTTGACGACTATACTAAGAATTACTAAGTAAAACAGTGGGATCTTAATATATCAGTTTAGAAATAAAATTTGCTGTCAGATCGTGGATTCAAGAGTCTCAGTTCCATAGAGCATTTTGCTAGACTCAGCTGGGAACAGTGCACACAAGGTCTGATTTTAATTTGTGTAGAATTTCCATGAATAACAAAGTCTAATTAAGACATCCATTAAAAGTCCTTAACGTTAATTCAGTGTGGAAAATCTTAGAGTTCCATTGGATTTTTTTTTTAACTGATGTCTTAATTAGACACTGTTAGGGGAAAAATTATGCAAATTAAAATCAGGCCCTTAGTGTTACGCATTTCTTTAATTATTCAGTGCTTGTTTTAGGTATATTTCCATTTCTTTATAAGTTAAGAGGGCATATTAGGTGATAATCTGCCTATATTGTTCTGCTTTTCTTCCTATTTTTAAGGTAAAGATCCAGCTTCTGAGAGAAGCATCTTACTTTCATCTCAATTTAAAAAAAAAAAAAATCCCCTCTCAGGATTTTGTATAATAGGAGCAACGTGCTAGCAGGGTAATCCTTTCCAAATGCCGTTCAACTTCATCTTCATATAAGATGTCTCCCTTTTCATATCTATGGTGTGAAAGTTCATCTAACAACCTTAAAAGAGAAGCCTTAGAGTATAGCTTCATCTGTTTGAACCAGTAAAAAACCCAAAAGGAATAACCCTCTCATTCTTCCAGACCCTGAATTCCAGAAAAGTTGTCTGTATCGGCTTGGGACCGACTTGCTTCTTTGTCAGTTGTATTCTTTTTAAATGAGAGAAATGTCTGTTGGTTCATGTCGATTCCATTCCAGTAGACAAAGCTTGCACAATGGGCGAGGTAATATCAGATTCTGTGGCAGCATTTTCTTGACATTATTGTCATTCTTCTGTCCCGTGTTCTCAGGTAGGTCCTATCCAACTGTTTTGGTGAACACACTATACAGAAATGCTTTTTACTACCGAATGTACCACCAATGATAAAACGAGATCGCTCTTCTTTCTTGAGGAAGATACACGAAACAGTCTTTTGCAATGTTCAGATAACCAGAAGCTGATCGTCTGCTTTAGAAAAAAACTACTTTTTTCCCTTGAAAGAAAATGCGTCTTTCTAGTAAACTGCAGAACTGTTTTTTTTTTTTTAAAGATTTTATTTATTTATTTGAGAGAGAGGATGAGATAGAGAGAGCATGAGGGGAGTGTGAGAGGGAGAAGCAGACTCCCTGCCGAGCAGGGAGCCCGATGCGGGACTCAATCCCGGGACTCCAGGATCATGACCTGAGCCGAAGGCAGTCGCTTAACCAACTGAGCCACCCAGGTGCCCCTGCAGAACTGTTTTTATGGGCACATCATAGCTCCTTTGATTTTTAGCTCCAACTCAAAACCAATTAATTAGCATTTCAAAAGAGGACTCTTGACACTTACCTGTTTAGCTCTAAAAATGGGGGGAAAAAATGAGGGCTTGTTCACCTGTGGTCCACTATCCCTTCCCAAATTTCCTCCAGCCCTGCACTGATTTTGATTGCTAAGTCTAGCAACTGAGATGCCTCATCCTCCCCACAGCAATTTGGAGATTAATTGCATTGCTGGTGCACCGATTAGACTGAGACAGTCATGCTATTCAGTGGATTATTTTAAATAAAATTAGTCAAAAGATATAACTCTCTCATAGGTTTCCGTAGGGGGAAACTCTGGTCAATTTTCCTGACATAAAGTTAAATACTTAAAATTACTCATGATGAATTGGCAGGATATTCAAGAAGTCCATTTTCTTTATAGAATAAATAATGTGGCCTCTGAGGAACCCAACCAAAGACTTAGTTCATGTCTGTGGGTTACAGTATTTAAGTGTTATTAGCTGTTCATCTTTTTGTCTAAAGAAATGTCTCCTGGTAATTTATGTGCAGGTATTTAGATAAATATTCTGCTTCATTGCATTCTTTGCCTTTAACAGTGCTGATTATAAAGACTAAATATTTGTGGAGAATATTCTCATGGCAAATTGTTATGTACACCATACAGTGGAGAATTCCAACATGAGTGTAATCAAGAATAACGTTCTCTGTCTAGAAAAATACATTCCAGTTTTTTTTTTGTTGTTGTTGTTTTTTTTAAGCAGTGTACCCTTAGGATTTTTTCTCCTACCACAGATACTATTTTCATACCCGGGGCTAAAACTCAGATATTAATATCTTTTCTATCATTGCCCTGGGGATTTTCTCAGTTGATTCCCACAAATGTCAACAATAATGTTTTGTGTAGCTCCCCATGCCCAGCCATGGAGGAGTAACTTAAGTAACAAAGTATATTTGATTGCCCTCTGCTTTACTTGAGCACATTTTCTTTTTAAAAGATTTTATCTATTTATTTGACAGAGAGAGACCCAGTGAGAGAGGGAACACAAGCACGGGGAGTGGGAGAGGGAGAAGCAGGCTCCCCACTGATCAGGGAGCCCGATGTGATGCGGGGCTCCATCCCAGGACCCCACGATCATGACCTGAGCCAGGGGCAGACGCTTAATGACTGAGTCCCCCAGGCGCCCCTGCTTCAGCACATTTTAATTGACTTTAGAAATCTTTTATTTGTAGCTGTAAAGTCAGGCCTAGTCCATCATTGTATATCATGATGTGGACCTGAAATTTTAAATGCTTTAAATATCATTCTATCTGCTCGTATGAGTAAATCACCAAAAGTGAAGCGGAGATCCTCGAATCTAAATGGCTGGATGTGTGTGTCCGAGAGTCCCTGTGTATGACGAAGAGCTAAGAGGTTTTGAACACAGAAGATGGGCTTTGACTATAAATGATGGAAACTATTGAGTTTGATGTGTTTGAGCTCCTAGATACCCTCGTCTTCTTTGTGTCAGTGATAGCATCATTAGGTGAGAATTGTGTTCTGAAAGCCCAAACAGACTCACTACAGAAAACGAAGAGCAGAGAAGAAGGAGGCGTGGCTCAAATTCTCACTAGCTCAGGGAGGACTTACATTGTTGTCTTGGGCTCAGCATGTAAGTCTCCACTCGAGTCTTCTGTGCTACTGAATGAAAGGATCAGTCTACCTGGCTCTCAGGGGTGTTGTAAAGATGAAATTACCAATGTAAAGTGTTTTGAAGGTGAAGACTTTCTTTGAAACGCTGCTTCTTCTTTTTACTACTAACCGCTGGTTGGTCTCTGTGACTCAGGCTTGAGAGGGCTTGTGGTGTTCCCAGCAAGTCCGCAGGGTTCACGCGGCCAAGTGTGCGGAGTGGAGTTGTTGGACGAGACGACTGCCTTTTGGATTGTTTCACCCGGCATTCTGTTTTTGTTTTGTAGCCTAACAGCAGTGGTCAAGTGGTAGGGAAAGTGCCTGGCCATTTCACACCTGTCTTGGCACCCTCTCCCCATCCCAGTGCAATGCGACCTGTGACCCTGACCATGACAGATACTAAACCCATCACTACATCCACTGAAGGTGAGGCAGCTTCACCTACAGCAACCAGTAAGTATTTCTGTAGGAAATGAGAAATGTCCATCAAAGGCACCATTGGATACCTGATCCAAGGTGGAGAACACGGCAACTTTTCAGACCCGATGGAGATTTCTCATTTATGTGGAACTAGCAGGCATGTATGTGGCCTGGCTATCACAAGCTCTCTCTTATCAAATTTCAGTCCGTACATCATATTTGAAAAGGGAGAAGCGTATTTGTTTGAATAAACAGCTCTAACAAAAATAGAAGTCATGCCTGCTTGTTCAAGGTATACATTGAAAAGACACCGAATAACATAATGCAGTGTGCAAGGTTTCTCTGTCACCCAGAGAGAGATCAGATAATTGTTACTTATTGGAGCATTCCTATAGAAATCAGTGCCCTTCACAAGGCAGACTGAATCAGTGCCTCTGAAAGATAATTGCACGTTTATATTACCGTAGGTTATGTCATTGCAAAAAAACAGTTACACGATATTGGGTGCGAATGAGAACATTTCGAAGCTGAGTATGAGGCACATGTAAGCTGCTACCTACACTTTCATTGTCTGTGACTTTTTTTTTTCTTTTTTCTTTTGCTTGTCATGGTACATCAGGTACTACGCTTTTTAACATGGCTATAACATTTTAAATGTCAGAGATTTAGCCAGTGAACTTAACAGAGAACATACCGATAAACCAATGATTCCTTTGCTTCTTCATACAGAATACTCATCAATACACAAAAAATTATTACACAGTTTTTTAATTGGCTTCAACCAAACTACCGGCTCCCTAGAACTAGTATAGTGGAATGGATAAAGTTCCAGGCAGGAGTAATTAGCAGGCTCCTCATCAATTATGCCTTCTATATCTGAAATTCAGAGGTTCCATTTTCTTTCCAAGAGCAAAAAAAAATTGAGATGCTCTGGAAATTTGTAAGTGAACGTAGAGAGACACCACTGGCTCTTTCTTTCTCAGGCTTTGAGAAAATGTTTTCCTTTTTTTTTCTTTTTTGGTGACTTCTGAAAACCTAGGAAGGAACACTACAAGAAAAAAGGACAATACTTTGAGGGTACAGTGAATTGAGCATTTCTTTCTCAAAATTCATGAGGCCCCATAGCCTAATCAGTCCATGTAGGCTTATAATTCCCATCAATAATCATTAATTTTTGTAATTGGTCTGTTGGTAGAGGGTCCAGTGAGCACTTCCCTGAATGCACAGATGGATGAAACCCAGTCAAGGAAGATTAAAAATTCTTTTGTTCTAAAGGTTAGCTATATACACTACGGCTACTAAAATACTTGTAAAAGTGGATGTGTTGGCTTCTTTTAGCAAAGTCAGCAATTTAAAAAAAGGCAAATAGAAAAGAAAGATTTTTTTTTTTAAGTTTTTGAAAGACTATTACAGGATAAATGATTCAAACCAAGTTCTAGAAACTTCAGGTACCTACTCTTCTAGTGACATTAATAGATGACATTCAAGGGACGATCAGACCCAAATGATCACAGCTGTTGTCAGCCTGCTTGCTAATGCATTGTTCTTATACTCACCTAGAGGATGGTCAAAAAGGGATCTGATTTGACTAATAAAATTACAAAATACTCAGAAGGAATATCTTGGTTTGTATAAAGACGGCTGTATCAGCCCATTTTCCACTCCTGCATAAAAGAAATACAGTGAGTTGTTTTTCTTCCCTATACACAAACTTGGAGCTCTAGCTCCCGATCCGGCACTGATAATGAAAGATTGGTCTTTGAGCTGATAAGTCAATAAAATTAAAGAAACCACATAAACCAGGGAAACCTCTTTCTCATGGCTGAAAAGAGAAAATACCACAGACTTGTTGCCACTCTATAAGGGTGAGGCTTTTCTCCAGCTGTCCATGCTGTCCATTGAATTTCAGGGGCCTGGAGATCGAGTAGGGGCTCCGCCCTTCTGGCTATCCTTGGATGGGCCCCTTTATTCAGGAGTAATTAATGCTGAATTGTGAGCATCTTCACTGTTTTAAAAAGTTGACCTAAAAAAGCCTCAATGGATCTAATTCTGCAACCCTTCAAATGAACATGGCAGAATTAATATATTTGGTTAAAAAAAAAACCTTTTAAAGATTAATGTCTGGATTTCTTATTAATCTGATAGCGTTAAACCAAATATTTTAGCTTCCTTCAGACCCGTAGATGTAACAAGAATGGTGAAAATGTAGTTCTGTTTTTTCCGGCAGGGAGCAATGGGATTGCTTTAGTGCTGGGAACTCCTTTCCTTGTGAAAACAAACAGAAATCTTTAGGAATAGGGAGACGTTTTCTTTGGAAAATTCACTGTCCACCAAAAAGCACCTCTACAAAAAGTACTTACAAGTTGAGAGTAAATAACTTAAGGAATATTCACCATAGGTACTTAGTGCCTGGTGGCCAAGTATTTCAAAGGGGCTACCGCCCCCTCCCTGGACCAGTCACAAGAAATTGACTTTTTGTGCTTATGGAAAATAAAGAATTTTTTTCAAAAACATTTCTATCAAACTTAAGGTCATTTTCACACTAAATAGAACACTGACCTAATTCACTCTGTATGATATCATAAATATAGGCTTCTCCCTCATGTTAGAAATATTAGATTTTCTCTTTAGTAAGACATGTTTCTTTCTGTATCATCAAGCACATCTGCTTAAATCCCACTCATTACAAGCTTTTTCCCAATAGACTTTCAGTCTTACATTTAGAATCACAGACCATCATTGATTATCCCATTATTAGACAACTAATATCTGGTGAAACAGGACAAGTAGGAAAAACCTTTCTACTAAGCCAGTCCTTGGTTCTCCTGCCAGGACTATAACTGGAGCATGTAAGTGTGAGATGTCCACACCAGAGGCCGGCATGTGGTTGATTGGACAGATTTCTGGGGAGGGGGATAAAGGAGTTGACTTGAGGTCAACCGCCATTTCTTTTATATCACTTGGTGTTCACTCAAACAAAAGAATAGAGAAATAGAGACACTTTTTTTTTTGGTTGCAAATCCCACGTCCTGGGTTTTCTTTTACATGGACAGGGTGTTCATTCTGATAGTTCACAATTTTTATCTTTGTTTTTGTTCTTCCTTAATCAGCCTACACAGCCTCAGGCACATCTCAAGCCAATCGATATGTGGGACTAAGCCCAAGAGACCCATCCTTCCTACATCAGCAACAGGTGGGCACGTTTCACCCAGGTGTGACGGTGTAGCACGCTTTCGGCATTGGTGCTCTCTCCATGCTGCCTCTCAGATCTGGACTCAGAATGGGGCTCCCGGGGCTTCTGGGAAAGAAACTGATCATTTCGTTTTCCAGAATATTTTCTCATTTATTTGTTTCTTGCCTCTCTAAACAGGGTTTCTCAAATTGGCTCAAAACCTTTTCCATCTCTGTGGCCTCTATCCATAACATCCATGAGTAACAGGGTCTCGGCCAGGGTATTTTTCTGAGTCTTATTGGCTATTGAGAACTTACTAGCGTTTAGCTTCCGAAGACAAAAAAATTGAAAACTGATTGAAAAGCCCATTAGAGTAGAAGCAGTACACAATTTGTGTTTTTGAGCTCTTTTGTATTTTCCAGATGTTTTACTCCTCATTTTGGACCTTTAGTCCAAGAGGATGAGTTATGAAGCTAAAATCTCGGGCGACACATCATTCCTGTTTTAATAGGTTTAAATTGGTTTACTGATTTCAGATGTGATAAAACACTTTTTTTGTTCTTTCTTACATCATTTATGTTTCAAGTAGCATTTTAAATTTCACATCTCATTAATGCTGTAAATTTAATGCAAATGAAGTGTTTACCCAAACTGTGAAAATATACAGCCAGGATTAATGGTGGCTTATAAACAAATTAGCCACAGTCAAAAGCATGGAACACACCAATACAGAAATCCCATGATTCTAGTTACAGGATGACAGAAATAATTCCAAACACTTCAGAATTTAAATATGTTTTTGTGATGCATATGTTTGCTGCTCTCAAGTTCTGATGGCAGAGCGGTCTGAAATTAACAGTGTGCAAAATATTAAATAGGGAAAAATAGGCTATCATGAATAAGAAAAAGCTGGTATAAACTAACTGGCTCTTCGTTCGAAAGTTGAATGCACGTGTATCGCATCTGTGTTTTTACGTATGTGGTCAGCCCGCGCAGGGACTCATGCCTGCTTCTTTTGTTCTGGACTTGCCCTCCTAGCTTGTGTTGTATCTCTCTCTGTGCCTCCCGCAAGATTCCCAAGTCCTGCCCAGTTTCGGACCAAGGTAGCAGACGGTGTAGATCAAAGGTCACCGCATGCAGAGTTCAGAGAAGAATCATAAAGATGATAGCTTATTCAAGATATTTGACATTGTGCCAGATTTTTAAAAAGCAAAACAAAACAAAGAGTGAGAACTAACTGAAAACATCTGTACACAGTTACAGAAATACCAAATAATAATTAGCGGTTTTGCCCGCCATTGGCTTTTCAACATAATTCTCTGGAATGTTGCTTTTTTTCACCTCTAAAATTGCTATAATGTGAAATGTGTTATAATTACTATAATATGGTTCTATTTGACAAATGTATATGTTCACTGTGTTTTCTAAAAACATATGTAGGATTTATAGGTTTAGAGACTTGTTCTTTTAAAAATCATTCCACATATTTTCAGAAATACTTTTACCATGGGATTTGCATTATTCTTTATGACACATCTCTACTTTGTAGTTAATTTTTTAATTCACAGACACATGCCTCCGTTACTTAAACCTTTAGTCCCAAACACATTTAGATTATACCCAGTTCCATGTATTTAGAAGCAGTTTTCCCATCCCCCTGTGCTAACCTATGGCAGGTTTAATATTTTTTTTATCTTTATCACTTATGACTAATGTTAGAGGCTCAGGAAATTATGATCACAAAATTTCATCATGCAGAAGTTACTTCTTTTTTCACATATCCCAAAGATAAATCAAGAAAACTTAGCAAGCATCAGGAAAGCGTGAGTCTTAAAGTAGATGGAGTTCTGAGTATACTTTAATATATATATATATATATATATATGAGTTCTGGAACTATAAACTTTTCTCATCAAGGACCACCACTTCTTATTTAAGTGGGCAATGTCAAGTGAAGACCCCTTACAATATAAATAATATTTGTTTGGTCAAATGCGGTCGATATTTATGGAACGCACGATGTGTCTTGATCCTTGGAAGAAAAAAGCTATAGAAGCTTCAGAGCCTAACATGTAATGTTCAATTCTATTGAGGATTGGTATTTACCAGGCAAATGGATAACTTGCCCTGTATATAATGGAAGACTTAGTGCTAGTTTTTGAAATGAAGAAGCTCAATATGCCAGATTTATAATGAGCTGCAATTTTGAGGCATGCAGAAAATGCATGTACATGCATCTCATACTATACATGAATATTACTGAAGTAAGGTTCCAGTTAAAACATTATTACTTTTATGCTTTTAAATTTTAAAAGAACCACTGAGCTGAAGTTTCAGGCTTACTATCCAGGAACAGAGGGACAGAAATAGTTTAAGTGACTTAAGTAGAGTAAAGGTTATGCTTTCCCACAGCAGAAATGAGATTGATTTACTGTGTCCTTTCATTACTTTACAAAGATTTAAAAGAGACCACTCTTGTAACAGCAGGTTCTAAATGCATTTGGGTTAAAGCACTCAGTGATGAATGAAAAGGAAAATCAAGGGGTACATGAAATAAAGGTAATCAATCATTTTATATTAGCTAGGAGAAATTCAAAATTAGAAAGGCAATGGATTTAGTCTGAGAGAGTTCTTTTAAACATTCCCCATAGCCTTTAATATACATGACCCCTTAAGAATAAATATTGTCACTAGGTACATTCTTCAGTTTATTGGCGGCTGCTTTATAAAGATTTATCCTTTTAGGTTATGAAAAGTATTGATGTGCATTGTGCTGTGCTATTTTTTTCTCAGAAAAGAACTTTAATATAGCCTACATAAATTAGGGTTAACGATAAATTTAAAATTGTTGAATAATTCTGACTATCTTATAAATAATCTTTCCACAAGATGACAATAAAGCAGACCCTTCAATATAGTCATTTCTAACACACAAGGATACTGGCCTTCTTCGATTGAGATGGCCAATGTTAAAGTTAACCCTATACTCCACTTGTAAGAGTAATATGTCCATATTGGCAAATTTGACTCCTAAAAGTATATGCTTTTAAGCCCATCAACTTGGTACACATACAGCTGTTATTAGTAATTATACATCTCTGTGCTTCTTGATAATGGTTATTACTGATTATTATTGGTCGCTAACTGACTTGAAATACTAGTTTTTTCTGACACAGGAATGTCACCTGTCACTGCAAATATTGATATCTCATTTGAATCTAAAAAATAAAAAAAATCCATAATCATGAAGAGTAATTCAAAAAGATTCATGGAAACCAGTTGATAATTTGCCATTAAAAACAATCCTCTCCAATTGGTCATAATAATCAGCTCATGCCGGCTGATCAGGACTTGAAATTTTTCCTTTATCCCCTAACACAGTCTTGTGTGTTGTGTGGTTCAAGGTCTGGAACTAGACTGTCTGTGAGATGATTGACTTAGTTCATGCGCTCACTATGGGCTTGGGGAGATCTTGAAAGCAGACATCAATTGGAGCTCCATATTCTTCTTTAACTTTTCTGTTGGAAGATGGTGTGGTGGCTTAAAGAACTCCTGGGTCCTGCTTTGGCAAACTGAACTCTGTAGTCTCTCCTGAGAAATGTCTTTTTTATGATTCGGAACTTTTTCACAAGTGTCAAGGACCTCCGTCTCTGACCTCACTTCACAGAAGTTTAGCAGAATGCAGTGTTTACCTTTCTTCACACTGCACGGAGTGCACGGCACACATTCACCATGATAGGCAAGGAGGGAAGTATATGTCCCAAGTTTTGTCTCTTTGACAAAATGGGAACTCTATAGCAGAGTGTTGGACTTTGCTCATAAAATACAGAAATTATTCTATAATCCAGTCTACTGATTTTAGCATAAATGGCGAATATGAGATAACTTACTTGAATTAACACCAGTTCCTTATCTGGTCAACATCATAATGAATTTGTTAAATCTCAGGACTTCTTTCTTTGCTCTCATTGCAAGTTGCGGGATCAAAGAGGGCCTCGTTAACTTGATTTTCACCCTTCTATTTGAGTGGAAGGTTATAATAAAAACATAAATCTTTACTATTATACATCAGTACAACATATAAAAAAAATCTTACTGCAAGTTGGAAATAAAAGTTTGTAGCTAAGAAGCTTCTTGTTTGGAAATAAAAGATTGCTATTTGAACCAGCTATTGAAAAGCATATTAATAAATGCCTTTCCAAAGGGAGACAACAAAGTCAAGTAAGCTCTAGTTTGTAAGATGTAAGGCTTGTTTTCATCATCTCTCAAAATTATAATCTCCTGACTGTATATAGCACTTATTAGATCTAATGAATGCATGGCCTGATCAACTCAGGTCCTTGCATTATGTACACGATTGCATGGATTTTATTGGTGCTTGAGCTTCAGCATGTTACATCTCTTGCATGACTACTTAATGCTATTACTTCAATTTCAGTTACTGGGCCACCTTATATCAAAATATTTTCAACACTTTCCTTGATACAGTTTTGAAACTCAAATTTGGAGGTACTTTTCATTACACTGGACATTTCTGTTACACCAGATGGCCTTCCTAGTAAGACATTGCCTCTGTAGGATTTTTTTTTTTAATTAAGATATTAATTGAAATTTCTTTATGATGTTTGTCCTGGCAAGTGGCAAAGCCAAAGCTAGGTATATTGAGACCACTGGAAAGGTAGTCTTTTATTAGAGGCAAGCAATTGAAAGGACACAAGTGGACTATCAACAAACTTTTCAATAAAGTCAGGAAGCAGGCTATCAACACTTGGGCTGTTCTTATTGTGTCTGTTATCATAATTGACAGCTTGACGTAAAACCCTATCACATGACTTCTGGGTAGGTATGTAAATGGATAAGAGGTCACTCTTCACATATGCTAGCTGGAGAGGAAACACATTTAAAGGAAGTTTCAGTCAAAATAACGGCTATGCAAATGTTTAGCTTTTTGGCTAGTTCTTAAGTTTTAAAAAAACCTTCCATGGTCTGCTTTTTATTTATTAACTTACTTTGAGTAGTTATCAAATGCTAATGTCCAGATAGACCATTCTAATTAATGTAAAAATAAAGTTATGTTTGCTGTAACCTTAAATTCAATCAACAAAATCACAAGGGAAAAATTATCTTCTTCCCTGAAAATACTTACTTTAAAAAATCTAAGTTGAATCAGGTAAGTAGAGGAAATTCTGAAGCTTATAATTATAGCCATTTTAGCTTTAAATATTCTTGGGCTGCACATGAAGGACAGAGTAGGAAAAGAACAGTGATAGGCAGACTAGTGTCTTGGGTGAGAACCAGGGATTAGGAGTTTGCAAGTGTGGTTTTAATGTTGACACAAACAGGGCATGTCTGACCTTGGACAAGTCCATAAACTTTGCTGTCCTGTATCCTTATCTTGGAAAGGAAAATGTAGAGGTTGAATTACACAATCTCTGAGTTCCCGTGAAACCTTAAATTTTACAAGTTAAAGTAGTCTCCATCTAAAAAAACCTTTCATTTTCTGATACTTATGATTCATGATCAGTTATGTTTACTTTGTTCATGGGCTATGCATTCCCATTTAAAGTAATTCTACTGTACTGATTCAATTAAATATCAAGAAGCATGGGTTTCAGAAACTGACATTAGAATTGAAGGTACCAGGATGATCTTGAATATCTTTTTTTTTTAATGTTTTATATGTCTTACATATAACAGTTTCATTCTGAACATTTTGCTTGTTCAGTAAGGCTACACCCTATTCATTCAGAGGCCATTTTATTTGCTCCATGGTGAGTAATTAATAATAGCAATAAAATAAAATTCTACTAATCTAAGAGTTAGAGGGGAGTTTGGATATTGGAGTGTTAATCTTTTTAAGCATCCCCTCAAAAACTCCTCTACTCCTCAAAAATCTGTTTCCTTGAGGCTATCTGGAGAAATGAAAAAAACCCAAGAGAACATAAAAACATACCTTTCAAGCTATTCCCCTGAGGGTCCCTGTAAACTTAAAAAAAAAAAAGTGAGAAGGTAAATTTGCCTGTGTTGATTATTCTGTTTACAATTTAATGGTTTATTGGTTCAACTGAGAGCTGTTGTCATCATGAGGGACTGTTAGTTCATTGGCCTGTTTGCTGAGTCTAGCAAAATAGAACATTTTGCTTACCTTCTTTCCTTTGTTCCCAAAGCTAATTGCTAAGCATTTAACAAAAGCCCCTGGTAATAACAATGGAGGGCCCTCATTTGAATAAACAAAATCTTAACTCTGAAATCACAAGGAATATTGATTCTTTATGGCTGTCAGCTACCTACATGACTATGTGAGCGTAGTGTAGGAAAGGCTAATGATCCAAATCTTAGGTGTTTTCCCTTATGTAGATTTTTTTTTTCCTATGTAGATTTTTGAGGGAAACTGGTTGGACCCATCCTTGTAGGCAAGGAACAATGTTCTTATTCCAGAGACTTCATAGAACTCCATCCTAAGAACATATGCAGTGAAAACTTAACCTTCACTTCTTTCTTAGTTTGGACTATTTCCACCTTAACCCTTTACTCATAGCTTTTCTGGAGGAGAATCTTACTTCTTTACCTCACCTTCTGCTTGCTTTTGGAATTCCGGGTATAATTGTTTTAATATAAATTTTACCTTAATTTTCTAGATAGTCTAATTGCATATTGATAGATGCATATAAATTAAAGAATTAAAATTATTTATGTGAGTGTGCATTTCTATAAGGATATGCATATGCTCAGGTCTGTCAAAGACTCTATATTGTTACAAAAATAAGAATTGCTATCCATCTCCAAACTAACAGACAACTTTAATAGACTAAATTTCTAAACTAATCAGTACCTAGTGTTTTAAGTTTGATAACATTGGAGAAAGCAAGTAATTTCCTAATTTTTGAGGGAAAATACTTGGAAAAGCCATTACAGTGTTATTGAAGCTTAGGTACCACTTAAAGTTAAAGTTTTAAAATTTAATTTAAAAAGACTCAAGAGCTAAAGTATGTAACACTGACTCTCTCACAGGACAGAAACTGGGAAACCATCATGCCAACCTCAAATAACATTATCACCTATTATTTTAAATTTATTTAGAGCATAATGTAAAAAGTTTTCGTTGTTGGGGATACTGACTTATATTAATACTAAGAACATTTAACATGCCCCAAAAGGAAGCTTTAATACACCTAGTATTAACCTTTTATCACCTAGAATCTATTCAAAATTTGCTGAGTCAGAACTATCTTTGTCAGTCTTCGTAATAGATCTTATTAGGAATAATGTCATGGAAATCTTTAGTGAAGAGGTGATTTCTATTTTAATTATATGTTTCCCCTACCACACCATCACCTTTAAAATTTCACTTTACTAGGAGGTTTATTAATTCAAAGATGCTTTGCACAAAAGAAGATTAATTAATAAAGTAAGACCAAAAAACCTGAAGAGACTCTTGCTTAAGTGACTTGGCTTAAGTCATTTATAACAAATAAGCATGTATAAACCTGTCTCCTCAGAAATTTTTGGGAATGTTCATAAATGCTACCTCACAATCTAGGTAACTAAGTAAATATAATTTATATTTTTCATTTTCAGTAACGGAGAGGAAATTAACTCAATACAGATTAATATCCTGCTAATTTCTTTGGCATCTAGATTACTGCTAACTACTACATTCAGTGATCATTTTGTATGTATTTCATATTTTCTGTTTGAAAGAAAATATTCCTATTGAATTTATCTTAAGTATGGATGAAAGTGAATAGCTATAGTCAGGTTTAACCCCTTTGGGACTACTCTTAGGAAAGAAAAGCCCAAAAATACATTGATTTTAAATGTTACATATGTGGTCAAAGGTAACCCACCTGACATATTTTAGGATGGTAAACAAACAAATAAACGTAACATGAGCAATGTGAACAACAAAAAACTAAGCAGTTTACAAATGCTTCCTTTCAAGGAGACATAGGGTTCCTGTAATTGTTTGTGAGACAAGTCACTTCATCAACGAGTAATATTTAGGTTCACATGGTTTTGTGAAAGCATCTTTTTCCGAGCACTAGTCCAATCTAAGCTGAGAGCCCCCCAGAAACTAACCTGAATTTAGCAGAATTATCAGGAGTTGTGTGTGAAGAGACACCTCCATTCTTGAGAATATTTAATTGACTGAAAACTAGGATTTTCATTGACTAGAGCAGAATCAGTAAGTGGTCCCTAAGGTCATCTTTACACAAGCTCGTTTTTTTTTAACTGTTTTTAGATTATTTTCATAGTACTGCTTTTAAAAAACATATTTTGAAATAGACAGTTGGCTTACTGTTGCTGTAAAAAAACAAGTTCAGGTTGCCCCATTACACTGCATTACTGATTAGATGATCCATTTGGAGAACTTGACAAAAATCTCGCCATAAAGTTTGTGATCTGTTTGATTTTAAAACTAAGCAAGTATACATTTTCTCCATCATGCAAGTATGATGGTCCATTTTAAGAATATTTTTCATTCCAATTTAATTTTTTTACTGGTTTATGGCTTCTTCATGAATACATTCTGAGACAAATCTATGTATCTATCAATCTATTTATCTGGCCATCTATCAATCTATCTATCAATCTGTCTGTCTATCTGCCTACCTACCTACTTACCTATCTACTGACCTACCTTAAGGGAATTTTTTTCAGTTCTTTATAAAATTACTTTCAACTAAAATATCAATATAATGAAAACACGTGTTTTGGAAATTTTAAGGTGGTATTTTTGGAGACTCATAGATCTGTAGAAAAGTGTGCAAAACGATTATTACAAAACTCGCAGAATCACTGTTACTTAGAATGTGTAGAAACTCATTGGTCTAACAGGAAAAGTAAAGGTTCTTAATAGCCAATTTTTTTTTAGCCATAACATTATCAGAAAGGATTATAATAATTTATCATCAGTTTAAAGGCACTTTGGCTGCAATCATCATCTTGTAGAAATCCTCACTGAAAAGCAGCAAACAGGGTTCAGTGGATTGCTGTAAGTCAACTTTACAATGTGAGATGCAGTTCATTTACAGCATGGCTATCTAACAATTAAAAACCATGATCTTCTAGTGGGGTGTCCCCCCGCCCAGAGCCAGATAAGTTTACTTTCTTCAGCATAAAAATAAGCAATATATCTTTTCAATAAATCTGCTAGCACTGTAGGGCAGCTGTGAGCCAAACAGAGCTGGATAGGGTTACTCGAACCCTCTTCCAAAGGGCAGAGCTGAGGACTCTGAGATCTGGGAAGAATTTGTTTCAGCTTGTACTCCAAGCATTCCTCGCTCTATTCAGATGGGGTAAAGTATTTTAAATACCATTACTCGGAGTTTAAAAACGAAAATAGAAATTCTTATCAACTCTTCCTAAACGGTGCCTCTTAGGCTAAAACAAAATTAGGAAACATCTAAAACAGAGTGCCTTGATGCTTTTAAACGTAAGCTAGGGGGGACGTAGAGATGGGGTCTTTACTCCTCTAAACTGCATGTCTCCTGTGTTTTGCAAACTGCATGCTTAAAGTTATTGATTATTTTACTCAGTGCAGATGATTTGGTATGTTGCATAAAAAAAGCTTTTTTTATTTTCTTCCTAAAATATATCTCTCTATTGAATATTAACGTTTGCTTTTATTTCAGCTCAATTTGTACTCTAATAATGGCTAATTGTGATGTTCTAAGCCCTCATTTCTCTTGTATGCTTTAATTAATAGAGAAGCATATTGTAGCTTTTTCTAAAAAAAAAACAAAAAAGAAGAGTCTAGGAAGTTTTGCTTTGCAGAGTAAGGTTTTTCTTTTGCTTTTTTTTTTTTTCTTTAAGTTGCCTCTTGGGAAAGTAAGGTTAATGCCATGTACAATACTAGTTTGCATGTGTTCATTTAAATACTAAAAACTGTAGTACTGCTCGATCCATATCTGACTGCTAGGTTTCAATTGACAGCTGAGGATTTGTGACTGGACCATGAATCAAAACGGCAGGCATTTATACCCCAGTACCAGTGAGGATACATTGGGAATTACTTGGCAAAGGTAACATTTTAATTATTTCCAACCCTACACTTACACCTAAAAATTACCTGAGCTATAGTGTTTTGTTTTTAACTAGCTTTACAGAAAATATATGTTAAAAATTTAGTTGTTTTGGCTTTACCATCCCTCTTTCCCTCCCCTCCTCCTTTCTTTCTTATGTAAATGCAACTTCAAATTAATTTGGGACTGTAGCATATGCTAAGTGATCATGGGAATTTCTAAGTGCTGTCAAATGTTTTCAACAGTGTATAAGTTGGGGGTGGGGCGGGGAGAAGGTTTGACACTTAGATCTTAGGACCTGAAAAATGAAATCATAGTTCTAGGGAAGATTTTTCAGCTATTTGAGGTTTAATAAAGCATTGGTTTTTTCGCATTATAGATTCTTCTCACTTCAGCTCTTTCCTCTACTGCTAACTTTGAACCATTTTACTGTTCACTTATTCCCCTGTCAGAAGGGAAAAGCCAGAAGAAAATTTTCCACTTAATTAAACTGTTAACTAGCGGCACTCATTAATTCTGGAGTCAGAAGATTGTTGAAATCAATAGCTAAAGAAGGAATTTGGTTGAAATAAAGTTTTAACCGCTGTTCGTTGATATGAATCATTGAGAACTGAATTTATTTGGTTCGCTGAGAAAATTATTCTAAAACTTCATTTTCGAAACTAGTTTGATATTGTCTCATGTATTGGTTTTGGAAAGTTAGTAGTGCTAAGTCAGCTTCTTATGTATTTTAATAAAGAACAAATTGTGTCAAATTGACAAATTAAATAATTAAGATTCATGGCATAATCATATGTAATAAGAGATAAAAATTTATAGAGAAGAGTGAGGTAATCCCGTAAGGAGTTCACCAAAAGTAGAGCCAACATAATTTTCCAACCCCGCTATAATTGTAATGCCTGTGTTAAAAGTACATACTCTGATATCAGTTGTAAACGTGTTGCCCATCTCCATTTTACTTGATAGAAACTGTTGAAGAGTAGAGTTTAAAAGAATTCAATTAACAAAATGTCCAGTTTTATTCAGGTGAAAATTATTTGGAGTCCCTTTAAAAATTTAATGAGTTTTTTTAATACTTTTCCTAAAACGAATACGATAGGACTTTTCCTCTTTTTTAAAGATTGGTATAGCATCCACTTTAAAATGTATACATTTTTACATATTTTAATTTTTTCCCCAAGAAGCTTATATAATTCCTCCATTTGGAAAAAAATACAACATAGTCTTATAAAAAAGAAAATAAGCAGAAGGACAGCATCTTATTTAAATGGCCTTAATAAGATTATGAATTAAATCCAATGAAAATGTCTTATTTAAGTGGTCTTAATTATTTTTAAGTTAATTTAATTGGATTTGATAACACCATGTTTGGATTTAATTTGATTAAATAACTTCCTGATAGTCCATGTTCTGTCAGTCAGCAAAACGGACTCTGTCTGCGTATAAACCTTACCGTATTGATAAGAACTGCAAATCGCATGAAGTCTACTCGTGTTTTTAAATGTGACTATAGCCGTGTGAACTTCTCAATCTGCGTATTATCGATTGACATTTACTTCTAAAGTAGGCTAGCACCTCTATAAAGAACATTAAAGCCAAATAAAGATATGTTATTGGTGATTTGAAATACAACTGCACCCAGTTCCTAGTCATTTTTGAATCAAAAGTTGATATCCCCGAAAGCGAAAAGGTGAGTGGACAATGAATCACCACAGAACACATGGATCGGAGTGAATTAATATGATGACTAAACCTAGTTCTTAGGAGAGCATTGTTCATGTTACAAAATCCCTTGTTGTTGAAAAAATTGGTGTGGTAACCAGCTTCAGGTTAGAAGGAGTTGGAAAGAAACTCAGAGCTCATTTTGTAAAGATTTTTTTTCTTCCCCTCTCAAAGATAGTAACACTTTTTTGATTAATAGATAATGGAATATAGAGAATGGCTTTAATACTTCAAAAGGCTTTATAAAGGTAGCTTTGGGGTTTATTCCCTTTTTATCATGATTCAGAAGGCACATCATTGATAATGGTGGCCATCACATTCATGCATTCAACAGGTGTTTATTGAATCTCTGTGGCAGGCTGTCCCAAATGCTGGGTGACTGACACAGGTGCTTGCAGTTCTGAAAACCTAAGTATCCTGCAGTTTACAATAAATATGCTCAAACAAGACAGCAATTTTTATTTTAATAGGACCCTCATAGTAGAGTCCATATCTGATAATACAGATAGGCTGGGTCTGTGGCACAGTATATTCATAACACCTTCATGGTTTATAGTTTGTGCTCTGTGCTTGTTTATGAAACTTCGTGGGTTTTTTTTCTAGAAAAGCTATTGAAAAAGGAAATCATAAACTTCTGCAATACTACTACTTTTAAGGCAGACAACAGACATCTAAAATCATCAGGGCACTGCTGCAGCTTTAAAATTATCTGATTAAATTGAAAATATCTGAGAAATGTAGAGCCCTTCAACCAGAGAATTAAATAATTTGCCTTTGTCATAATGGAATAATAAAGAAACTATCAGGCTATTTTTGTGGTGGTTGTTGCTTTTTGTTTTCAACAAAAGGCAATCCCCGGAGACTTTGTAGTAGAAAAGGGCAAAGCTAAGAAGGTGTTTGGGTTTTGCTCTGTGTTTTGGCTTTGCTTCGTTTTATTTTGTTTTGATTGTTGTTTGTTGCCATTTCTTTCTTAGTACAATCCCTTGTCCGCGGTGGCCTCCCTTTCTGCTTTAAGCCCATCCTCCTGTAGACATGTTTTCAGGTCACAAGCAGCACCTTGGGCAGGACTGGAAACGGCAGTGCCTGCGGAGCTGGGCCACTGTATCAAAGCTGGAAGATTTCCTCCATCCCCCTCCCCCTCGGCCCCACCCCCACTCCAGCGGAGAAACAGTCCCTTAGGAACCACGGCAGACTCCATCGGAAAGTTTTCACAGACTTATTTAGGTTGCAACCCTGAAGGTGTTTTGTTCTTTCGACCTTAGAATTTTGTGAGCTCTGTGTGTGTGTCTGTGTGTGTGTGTGTGTGTGTGTTTTGCTTGCACCTTGAAAACGTGAATTTTTCTGTCTAACCCAAAGGTTACTGCAGTTAACCCAGAGTGAAATCCGTTGGGGAAGGGCTCATTTCTTGAGTCAGGAGGGGCTCAGCTCTTGGGAGGGTAAGGGGTGATGAGTTGCTGATGCTGTTCTGTTGTGTCTGCGCTTTGTCCTCCGATGTGGACAAATTATACTGTGGCATATATGAGTTATGTAGGTATAAACAAACATAGCAGTTAACTCCCTGACCGGCTTTCTTTTTTTGTGAAACTATAGCCTGAACATGGCTTGTACTATCAAGTATGAAAGAGCAATATAATTGAATGAAAAAGAAAGCCGAAGGACAATCCAAGAATAATATAAACATTAGTTATTTTAAAACATTGGAGGAGGTGCTTTATGCAAAAGAGCAACTGGATTTATTGTTTCATTCCCTCTTCTCTGCCTTCACCCTTTCAAGAGAAGCAAAGCCACAAGTGAGTGGCTGTATGTGTCTGATGGCTTATATAAACATAGAAGAAGCCTTCAGATGGCTAAAATAAACATGCACGTGTTACTGAAGGATATGTTTACACAAACCATTTGCTCAGCCTCTGAAATAATGAATAAATGAAGATTCCACTGAAATAATTGGAAGGATTTTTGTGTCTCTGCTGATGCCATAATTGAATGGCACCAAAGAGACTTTTATCAGGTACTTTCCATGTTACATGTGTTAGCAGTTCCTTTCTCTGAGTTGAATACTTCATTCTGTAGTTACTTTACACGTGTTTTTGTAAGAAATTGTTGTTTATTACTGCAATTCTAAAGAGTCGCTTGATTTCCCAGGAGAAATTTAGCAGCCAGTAAAGATTATTTGGATCTGGTTGGTCAGGAGAGGGAGGGCAAAAAGGAAGGAGTAAGAGCATTCATTCCATACATAGAACTCTATTTGCATAACACTGTCCTCAACCATTTACCATCTCCATTGCTTTGTCTTTAAACTGTTCTTTGTAAAATACACGTCCTCAATGATAGAAGGATGAAGATTTAAACAAAAATAATCTTCAATATTGGGTTGCAAACCATGTTTGTATGCAAATACATATATGATGTATGCACACGGCGTGTGTGCGTGCGCATGCGTAAATGTGGGTACACGCATATATGTGCGTGTGTGTCTACATGCATACCCAGGCATAGGGCACATATATGATAAGGACAGTATGTTTCCTGTCCTTAGGTAGTGTTAAGAGTTAACTCTTCTTTCAACATTACACTTAGACCATCCCTACAAATTCACTAGGTTAGCATTTCCTGCTTTCAGTTTGTTATCTTGACACATAACTACAGCACAACAGCTGGGTTGTTCCTGGAGTTCCTGGGGGGAGCTTTATTCTCAGAGTGCTGAATTTCCTTTTCAGCTGTCAGCTCAAAAGTGTGTTCAAAATGTTCAACTTCTTACTCACCATTCTGGGCCCCTAGCACCACTCTGGGACTATGATAGAAATGCTGATAAGGTAGATGAATGGAAGCATATTTGGTTTGAGGAGGAGGAGAATTGCAGAAGCCAAAAATGCACATGTCCGTTGTTTGGTAGTGGGGTTACTGTCTAGTGTTCTTTGCATCTGAGTATTCTTTCTAAAAGAACTGCTCCATTCCCATCAAAAAATCATTTGCACCTGTTATGAAATAAAAAAATGGTACCATTCTCGAAAACAGTCTTGATATGGTGTTCACACACACACAGTATCAGTGATCTGGCTGTTGAAAAATACATTGGGATTTGCTGTAGTTTTCCCTAACTTTCTCCATTTGTAAAGAAAGATTTGCACAACACAACATTTCCTTTTTATCTAGGAAACTCTTCAGAACACTTCCTAAGAAATTAATTGTATTCCAGCCAGACTTGCATGCTGCCATCCCACAGGAAATGGGTCAGCAATCCATTAAGATGCCATTAGATAATCTAATTTGGAACTTAATCTCTAAATTAACCATGCTCCATACTTGAAGCATACTTGAGAGAAAGAAAAAAGTTTACGTTTGAATCGATAGGGGAGCTGAAGCGTGAAGAAGGCTGTTTGTTTTTTCTGTAGCTGTGGTCACGTCTCAAGCCGTCTGGTAACCAGGAGAAACCAGACATGATGTAATTCCAGATTGAACTTGAACTTCAGGGACTTAGGATAGGGGAACAATGGACCATAGGAATCAATAATGTCCATTTTCCACATGATTATGTTTGGAGCTTTAAGTTAACCTTTATGGGAGAAGCAGCAGGATCTGCAGTGTGACCAAAATGAGATGATCCAGAGACAAGATGTTAGAGGAAAGAAAACAACTTTTTCCGTGATATTTTCTGAGCAGCACTGCAGATTCCAGCAGGATTAGAAAAGTTCCCGCTCTGCAGTAAACCGGTGGCCTGTTCAGAGCACTCTTTGTTCGCTTAGGTAGGACAAACTTAATCTTATGTTTCCTGTCAGATGATTTTTGGCTGCACTACGGGAGAGGGAGGAGCATGGTTCAGAAAATTCCCAAACGTAAACCTTGCTGATTAACCCTTTGCAATGAAAGACGCACGTTAAACACCTACTTTATTTGAAGATGTTTTACGTAAAGCGCCATATTTACATATGTATTACGTCCGCGAGGAGTCCGCGCCCTCAGCAGCCAACGCCCCTTTTATTAAGTGACCTTTTTGATTTTCCTGTTTGCAGGGCTCTGAGTAGGTAGGTCGTGAATTTTTAGCCATATTTACTTAGATAACAGAGCATAGGAATGAGTAAATGTACTCATAAACGTAAGAAAAAAGAAAAGGCAGGAAAGCCTGTTTGAGTTCAAGAAATTGAAGAACACGGATTTTGAATACTCGCCAACTGTTGAAAGTTACAATTATTCTCTCCTTTGTTAATTCTCGTTTTACGTGAAGGAAGGTCTTTTGTTTTTTGTTTTGTTTTGTTTTGTTTCCTTTTGCACATGTGATTCTTTCTGCACCTTTATTAGCAGGCATGCTTTAAAACTGTGTTCAGTTCCCTAATCACTTGTGATTTTATGATTTGGAATTTGGATACAAGTAAGTTCTGTTATTTAGAGGTGAAATTGTACAATTTTGTACATTACAAATGAACGCTGATTTTTGCTTTTAAATGAAAATCACTTGGGAAAGAATCGCTTTTTGCTTTTGTATAAAACTTACATTTCTTTTTAACTTAGTATGCCTTGGGTGATTTTCTCTAGTGAAAGGCACTATTTGGGAGCACTATTTTTGTGGAGAATTTTGTCTGCTGTTGAAGACTCACATATGCTAATAAGGGGAGCAGTAGTACTTGTAACAATAGCATTGAAAGGAACCCAGGGATAGAGAGGAATACAGACTAGAGAAAGGACGGAAACCCACATGTAGGGTTCTCGGCTGTGGTACAGTCTGTGGGAGGAGATCAAACAATTACTGTGAGCCTGATGATGCTATATTTTTTAATTGGCTGAAACCTCCTACAGCTCCATAAGTCGTTACATATGTATGCATGTGTGTACTGTAATTTATTTACAATTAGCCATCTTTGTAGTAATTCTCTTTCATTTTCAGTTCTAAAACATGAAAAATAGCAAACATAATTTTAAAAAAAAAATCTACTTAACTTGGCCTATTTAGGGGAATTGTATTTTTCTTATGTCTAAAGTAAACATTTTAAGGAAATACGTTCTTACTATTTTTAAGTATATAGGTTGCCTTGCTGAAGCGTCTTCTAGGATTTTGTAAGAGCTTTTCACTTAAAGAATACAGTAACTATAATGAGCACATTTTATCTTTAGCTGCAGTGGTCCAAACATAAGGGCCCTTCTTGCCCTGTGCTCTTCACTAGATAACATATTTCGCTGGCAGAAGTCATTATTTTACATAGGAAATGCTAATACTCACGCATGGTAAAGTTAACATTCAATCCAGCATGCTCCAATAACGGAAACACATCTGAAACAATTGAATATAAATTAATGAGCTTTGATGGCCTACCGTTTTGATATGTTATTTCCAAAATTGTTGGTCCCCAAGGAGTAGCAATAAAGAAGGCTATTTACCTACTTAGTTAAGAAACAAATACGTTTCTTTTTCATTACTATGAAGTACTATTGCTTGCAGTTAGAATAATTCCACAAGCCACCTGCAGTTTATGATATTTGGTGTTTCCCAGAGAGCCCACAAGAGTACTTTGCAGTTCAGGTAAGAGCTGGCCAGGGAGCTTTCTGATACAGATTATTACAAATAGTAATAATCACTAGAAATCATCTTTCATGCAAATAAGATCATTCAGATAGCAATAATGATCCTTAAAAGGGGAGGAAATAAATCGAAGAAATCCAAGA